CACCCACACTTCAGCCAGCCAGTGGCTCGTGTGGTATCAGTGTATTGACATATGAAAACATTAATTCATTACAATGGTAATTATCGGCGCTGACGGCTTTGTTCATTCAATGAATATTTATTGAATAGCAACTGTGTGCCACCATGCGTCAATTACTGTGCATCTTGGGATCTGAACACTCTGGAGAAATGGTCTAGAGACACTGCCTCCCACTGGGGCTGGAGGAAGTTATAGCGACAGCTTTTGCTGGAGAGAAATGACTGGAGACCAAAAGTGGGAGCCACATCAGAAAAAAAGCGAGTAGCCCTGGCCTCCAGTCCTGAAAAATGTTTGGGGACCAAGAATCCCTGCACCTTGTTCTTGGTCACTAAGAATTAACGTGTGAATTAGGTCTATAATATGGTTCTGCTACTCATACGTGACCTGCATGATTTAGGGGAGGGGTGAGTGGGACATGTGGAAGAAGGGAAGGAAGGACATGTGAACTACAGGAGAAACCAGAAGTGAATGAAGCCACCCATCATCTGGTTCCACGCGTATGAAATATAGAGAACAGGCAAATCCATAGAGACAGAAGGCAGGTGAGTGGTTGCCGGGGCTGGGAGAGGGAAATGGGAGTGACTGCTGTGGGGACCGACCCTTTTTCCAGGTGATGGAAATGTTCTGGAACAAAATAGAGATGATGTTTGCACAACATTGTGAATGTGCTAAGTGCTGTTGAATTGTTCACTTTAAAATGGTAAACTTTACATTGGGTGTATTTTACAATTAAAAATGAAAAGAAATTGGACACACACCCTTGCTCTGGAGAGTAATTTAATCGCCAATATATCAAAATCTAATGTCCTTTTTCTTTCTTTCAAAATTCAATGTAATTGTATCCAGTGACTTTTTTTAATAGTGTATTTTTTTTCCTTTTTCAAAAAAAAAAGAAACAAGTAATGAATTTAAAAAGAAAGCACTGAGTTAGAGGGAAGCTGAATGAAGCCAGACACACATGCCACCCATCATACGGTGCCGTGGGTAGGAAATATGGAGAACAGCAAATGTCCCTAGAGTGACATCTTTATGCATCTCTGCAAATTCCTACATTGTGGAGGGGAAAAGAATATCCGCGGGCATAAACTCGGCTACTAAGAGTCTGGAATGGGACGCCTTCCTGCAGCCTAGGCTTGGGGTGTTGGTGGGACCAGAGGCCATGGAGGGATGAGGGGCCAGCCTGAGCCACAGACACCTCCCCGCATTCCCACCAGAGACCTAAGACTATCCCTGAAAGAGCCTGCGTGGGAAATGGTGGGTGGCCCTGAACTTGTGGAATTTGAACAGAAAACTCGGGCCCAGTGGAGATACCTAGTGGAGACCCCCATCCCACCCACCACACCTTTGTTTGGAGGTAAGGAGGGGCGCAGGTGTGAGCGCCCCTTTTTTGAGGGTTCAGCCACAGTGGAGGCAGCACCTCCGGGAAGATGTGCCATGTTCCTGTATAAATTCTAGTGTAGCTCCTTCTCCCAGCTCAGTCCCTCAGGATCCCCCAAAACAGAGCCCATGGGGGGGGGGCAGGAAAGCCCAGGCCGTGTGCCTTCCCCCTGCGCCCCAGGGGCCCCGCGAGCACGTGCTCTGGGAAGCTGTCAGCGGCGGAGCCAGAGGGAGAAGGAGATGGATCCCGCACCCGCCGCCAGTCTTTCTCACTCTTGAGAAACGAAAGACACCGGAGAGAGTCCACTCTGGCCAAAATAAAAGCAAAGGGAGGGGTGGTCTACAGAGGGGTGTCGAGCGCGGCCCCTGCTTTGCTTGGGCGCAAGGGAAGGGAGGAAATCAAACACCAAACGGAGCAAGCGGTTTCCTAAGACGGTGCCGTTCTTCTCAGCAGCCTAAGCCCATCTGCCACCTCCCTGTTCCAACACATTCACGCTGCACTGAGCACAGAAGACAAGGCCGGGCCACTTCAGTCTCGGGGACCCCCAAGGCCAGGGGCGAAGGGGGAGGGGAGGGACGCAGGCTTCCAAGCCGGGTCACCTGCCCAGCCGCCTGGGTCTCCAACCAGAAAGACCAGACTGCAGACCGGGTGAAAGGGTGGGGAGGACCCAAAAAAGTAACATTTGCCTTCGGTCAGACACCGTGACCACTGGGGAAAGGTCACCCGTCCAGGGCAGAGGCGTCAAACCTGCAGGGGGCTGAGGGCAGTGGAAAGAAAGTGGAGTTTTAAGAAGGAAAGAAGTGTGTGCCGGAAGCCAGGGGTCTGCCTCTCCTCCAGCCCCCACCGCCAAGAGAAACTGTTCAGAAAGAGAAGGTGGTTTTTAAGACAGAAACAAGTGAAATCTGGAAATAAACTGCTCCCCCCCCACACACACACACACACACACACCCCGCAAGAAAAGCTATTCATAATCAGCAGAAGCGGGAGACCATAGGTTCCTACCTGTGCTCACGGAGGTAACGTTACAGCAAGAAAATAAAGACTGAACCCCCGGCAGGCCCCTGCCCCCAGCCTCCCGCCTCGGGGAGCCCCACTCACTCACGTGTATCGCAGGGCTCCGGGCTCCCCTGGTGTGGCTAGTGCGCAGCGCAGCGGGTCTTCCAGGTGCCCCGAGGGTCCCACCTTGTCAGCACCCAGGGGGCCCAGCCGGCTGCAGCCCACGCATCCATTGCCCACCCAACGCAAAGGGGAAGGGGCCCCCCCGAGAGAGGAGTGAGAAGGGGGAATGCCAGAAGCAGCCG